GGTGCCTCTTTGTCAGCTGTCTGCTAAAAAAAAAACACTGAAAATGACAAAAAGCTTTCTGTCAGATGGGATGCATTACTCAAAATTATAGAACCTAAAACTAGGCTTTTATAAGCTGCCAAACTTAAAAAACAAAAGTGTGGAGGTGACTAAAGTGGATACTGCTGATAAGACACTCACTATGCCCATGAATGTCACTCTAAAGCTAAAAATTAACTTAAATTAACAGAAAACTAACACTGACAGGGTGCTAAACTTAGCTCTGGCATTGTGAATCTTAAATATTGAGCTGCTGGCGTGTATTTTGTTGGCGTTACAGCCTTCAGTTGCACCTTGTGGAGTCTAATGTTTTCCTCTTCTGCATATGACATGTCTGCTCTGGCAATTGGCAGATGAAAGACAGGGTGTTGTTCTTCTCTCCACCTTTTAACTGTTTGGCAACTAGACCAAAAATTGTATCAGTGATCGTTCACCCAAATAAGTTCATAGCAAGTTGTTTGTTCATTGAGAAGCTCTCATGATTTGCTTCAGTTGACCAAATTAACAGCAAAACAAATCAATGAGTTTGCTTCATTTTTAGATAACAAGTTCTTCCAAAATTCCGGTTCCTGAAAATGGGATATGTGAGGTTGGACTAACTCACTTCACCCCTGTGCACACCAGCAGAACTGTTCGTGAATATATTTGCGCACTCTGGTTGTTGAGACCATATTTAAAACCCTAACACTTCATTTGTAAGTGAAAATTGAAGAGTGTGTTTCTAATCATGCTGTTTCTCCTTGTTGTGTTAAAAGCAAATGTATTCTAATATATTTGTTATGACTGCATTAAAAACTGTTGGGGGTTTTCTTAAAAAACCTTCACAAAGAGTGCCTAATGCTGCTTTAAGTGTAAGAAAACACAGATCTGCTATCACCGCAGGCATGTTTTCACTCTCTCTGAGGGGTTGTTGAATGTCATGTGCTCCTGTCCTTGTCTCTACAGTGTGTGCAGTGGATCGATGACGCCAAGCTGAACCAGCTCAGGAGGGAGGGGATCCGATACGCCCGTATCCAGCTCTACCACAATGACATCTACTTCATCCCCAGAGGAGTTGTCCACCAATTCAAGACGGTGTCTGCTGTCTGTAGTCTGGCCTGGCATATCCGACTTAAACAGTATCACCAACATGAAGGGAAGGAGGAGGAGGAGGTTAAGGAAGAGGAGACATGTTCACCAAGAGAAGTAACGTGTTATATTAAGAAAGAGGAGGAAGAGGAGGAGGTAGAAGCGACTGAGTGTGACCTTGCTGTAAAGGCAGTGACGAAGCTGGAGGATGAGGAGGACACGGGGAAATGGGAGGGGGCACCCCCAGGCACTCCGACACAGATTTTCAATGAGGAAGAGCGAGAGAACAGAGCTGACGTGAAGGAGTTGTCAGCGGCACTGTCACTACCTTTGGTCAAGAAAGAAAGAGATGAATCTGCACTCAGTCCCACACTAATGGAACCTCAAGCTGAGGAAGATGTAAAAGAGGAAGGCAAAGGAGCTGCAGACACCTGTCAGACACTGCAGATGGACCACGAGGAGGGCAACAGAGCGGATAGTGCCCCTTCAAAGCCATCACAGCAGATTAGGAAGGAAAGTGATGTGGAAGAAGAGAGGCAGCACAAAACATCAGGACAGGGCCTGAAAGAGAAAAGTAAAGAGAGTATACTGAGCACTTATAACGCGCCCCAAATCAAAAAGGACAAAGATAAAGGCAGAAGAGAGAAGGATGAAAAGGAGAGGGCGAAAGAGAAGGAGAGGAAGGAAAAGGACAGGAGTAAAGAGAAGGAAAAGGATAAAAAAGACAGGGGGAAAGACAGAGA